TCAGACTGTAATCACTGTAATATTACGGAAGATTAGTAACACTTTTTATTACATGCCACTTTCTTGATATATTTTAGGAAAAAAATATTCAATTTGTTAGAAAAACACATTTTAACACTGATTAAGGAAGTAGAAAAAGCTTATATACGATCTATTCCAATATTGATAAAAAAAAAAAAACGTCATCCAGAAACACATGGAAACCGGTAATAGGTTATAAATAATCCTAATTTCGGATGAACCATGAAATTCCGAAAATAACGCCAGATGATATAAATACTTTATTATACTAATAAGTTGGATTAAAAGATTAACTGTAGGTAAATATGTCATAATTGAAATCCCAAAAAGTGAAATTCTGTATCATTCTGTTTGTGATTTTGTTTTTGTAATACACCGACGTTGTGAAGTAAAGGATCGAGCAGGTTTTAAAAAAAAAATTACGATAGAGTTGCATTGACATACTGATATTACTTAAATTTTAGTATGAAAGACTTCGGGTTTATTTCGAGTAGTATTTCAATATTCAGTTACTTTAAAGATCGATTCAGTCGTTGATTTAAACAATGGAAAGTCGACTGATGTATGCTTAGTCACTACTTTCAACAATAACTCTCGGGAATCCGATTATTTTCAAATTGTTCTTTTTTCTCATCAGAGTATTTTGTACGTTGAATATTGCCGGAAACTGCCTCAACTATCAATATCCAACATGTGAAAAGTTCGATACATTCAGGTTTCTACCTCTTTAAATTGAAAATGTACAAAAATTGAGTGTATCAAAATGTTGTGATTCAACGTCCCAATAGTTTTGATTGAACAACCAACAGGTGATCGAATATTATTTACTCGATACTGCTATGGTGCTATGGTATGCCACACGCCCCGATTGATTAAAGGTAGATACTTGCAATAATGGAAAAGTTAAATGTTTTCAAAAGTTAAACATCGTCATCGGAAGGTGTTGATGCCGAAAAAAAAAACCCCACACATTTGAATAAACTTTCAACTCGCCAAAGTAAAAGTCACTATTGCACACTCCAATGCAGACATTTAAAAGACCTTCAGCATGATCGTGAAGTTCCGAACTGACATCAGGGTTATCTATGACTCAAAGACAATACACATCCTCTCTAGTGTTTATATAATCAACCCCACAACATGTTACAAGGATCAGGACTACCTTAGTAATTTGGGGAGGATCCTCATAAATGGGGTTAAGCCATTTTCAACCGAATTTTGGAGTTTGTTCTTATGTTCTGGAGTGTACACCACTGTCTCATGGATGGGAGAGTTAAGCTCTCATAAAACATGTGTAACTCCGTCTCATTGTGTATGTGCCTATCCAAATTTAGGAGCCTGCATTACAATGGTTTGTCGTTGGTTTATGTTTGTCATACTTGTTTGTCCTATATTGTTTTGTTTTAAATTATGTCGTTAGTTTATACGTCGTTTTAATGTCGGGGCCTTTTATAGCCGACTACAGGGTATTAGTTATACTCATTATCGTACAATTGCATATAATTGCATACACCAACTTCATTTGAACTTTGACGGATAATTGTCTCATTGGCAATCACACCACATCTCCTTTTTTATATTACTTACATGACGTAAAAATAACATGGTAGTATCAGGTTATTTCATATTTGGACGTAGATAATTACAAACAATTACTAAATAAATAAAAAAATGACTAAATAATCTTTATTTGAAGAGGATAATCCTATTAGTCAAAACATCATTGATATACAATTTTATATAGATATTAAAAAAGTATATTACTATCTTGACCTATTCTTGAAAATATGTAACAATCTGTTGTAAGATACCAATTTTTTTTTCAAGCAATTTGTTTTGGGCTTTGGAAGTTTTCAGTGTTTTTCATTAGCCATACGTAAATAACAATTTAGATTATCAGTAAAATTCTTCTTTTCTATTGTATAATTATTTTTATTGAAATTGGCCCTTTGAGCTCTGTAATGTGTACAATTCCTGCCCGATTTTTATGAAATAATATTACAGGTTCATATCATCAACGTACTTAAAGAGTTCAAAAGTCAGTGCCGATCAATGAATATAAACTAGTTTTTCCCCTTGAAATTTTTGATTATACGAAAAAATGCAATGTTATCGCTTTCGTGTATTCTTTTCTTGCCAGAATTTTATGAAACTTATATGATAGGTTTACATCAGCTATATCTTTGTAATTTAAAAAAAAGGGTTCTGATCAAATATTTTTATTGAGTTATGCCCTTTTGAAATAAAGGTTATAATGTGGAAATGACATTGCATTCGCTCTGAAGCATTCATTTATCTAAAGATACAATGCATAAATAAAAGTTTTTAAGAAAAAAAAGTGCTTAAGAGTTTATATGATAAGGGCAGTTTAAATATCATACAAAATTAATGAATTTATCTATAGCTTGATAGAACATTGCATCGTTCAGTGATTTTGGCGTTTAGCAAAAGTCAATCAAATTAAAAACTCTATCAAATTCCCTCAAGTATGAACCCAAAAAATGCTGGTTATACACCAATTGGTCAGCAACCCATCAACACAAATAACAAAATGACACTCGGAGAGTCTCCTACCGTATTCAGCAGGTTTCAAAAGAGCTTGAATTTGTTATATTCAGTCGTGGATTGAATTTAGATTTAGATAATGATCTGTTACTTAGTTGGTTTAGTTTATCGGGAACGATCATTCAATATTGAGATTGGGGAGTGACATAGAAATCCTTTAAAAAAACATGTTAAATGAAAAAAAAATGCATAGTAGAAGTTGAAAATATATAGCCATTGCCCAAAACAGGATGATGTAAATATATTGTTTGGATAGCATGTCTGTATGATGACAGGGTTGACAATTCAACATTAAGTTGCAAGTAAATAAATGTTGATTCTAAACAGACATGAATTGTTAAATTTGCCTATGGATTGTACTGTAAAAGTTCCTTATTTAAATCACATTGACATTATCAATGATGCATACAATTGGGCTAAGATCCACCTACTGACTATAAGTTGATTCAACTATACAGATGAGCTGCGATGGAATAATTTGTTTTTACTTTATTTCAAAATATATTCATTTTATTATGAACGAACATTGTATCAGAACATCAATAGAAAGCAGTCGCGGTGGGGGCATAATGTTGTACCCTTGTCCGTACGTACGTAATTTCCGAAATTGGTATTAGTTCTCTAACGTTAGTTTGACTCAAACAAATGTTATGAAATTTATACACAATGCTTTTTATCATATAACACATATCAAGTTTGAATGTTGGTAATGAACACATGGAATAATTGCTCATTTTATTTCCATTCTTTATCTTAAGTTTGCCAATAACTCAATTGTATGAAACTTAAACGCAATGCTCATGATGCTTATAACCATGAAGCATTGATCAAGTTTGCATTTTGGTGGTGTAAGTTTTACTGTTCTAGAGTTATGCCCCTTTACAAATGCAAAAAAAATATTGAATGTTTCGTTTAGAATGTTGAACTTAAGATTGCCTTAATAAAGTTTAAACACAAAGCTTATTACCAAACAACACAGATCAAGTTTAAATATGGTTGCATCATTTTAACCGTACTAGAGTTATGCCTCTTTACACATTGAACAATCGATGAAATGTTCGTTTCTGTTCTCTTACACAAGTTTGCCTCAACCAAATGTCATGACACTTATACAAAATGCTTATTTCCACAAAACTGATGTTCCTTTATGACGTTTTATGTAAACGGGTGTATTATCTGTGTCGCTTGGACACATTCCCCATTTATTTACTTATGCTCTGACCTTGACCTTTAAAACCTTCAGTTTTAATCAGTTGAGAGAGCAGGGCATTTTAGATTGTACAATTGCTTGGTTCAATTCCTGGTCAAATTTAATTTCCAGCTTTGAATATTAATTTCATTGCAGCTCAACATGGACAAGAAATAAGAGAATGGGAGCAAGACCAAACTACTTTTGTCGAAACCAGAGCAACACGTCAAATTCTGGAATATCTACCCGCAAATAACTGTATTGTTGTGACAGGAAGCTCAGGTTGTGGTAAATCTTCAAATATACACCATGCTGCTTTACACTTACGTGACAGTTTGGAATTTGAGATTATACCTGTGTTAACAGGACCAACAGAAATTATAAATTATTATAATGAAAACACAAAACAAGTGTTTATTGTTGATGACATTTATGGGAAGGAAACAATCAACATGCAGACATTACAGACGTGGAGAGATTATTCAGAAAAAATGGAAAAAATATTTAAAGTTGCAGAAACATATGTTGCGAGTAAAAATGATAACACGGTTTCAAAGGTATTAAAACCAAAATTACTGGTGTCTTGTAGACTGCATATATATAATGAATTACAGTTTCAACGTATTACATTATTCACAAAAAAAGAATGTAATTTATTATCACCCGAGTTGTGTCTGCAGGAAGCTGAAAGAATGCATATGCTGCACAAGTACCTTCCAGATGATATAATGGACAATATAAAACAAGTCACAGAGAACGTTGATTATTTTCCCTTGCTTTGTAAATTGTCAAAATACAAAACATCTGAGGAAGTGAAAAAACTCTTTACAGCTCCTTTAAAAAGTATTGTAGAGAACATAGACAATATAATTATTGAAAACAAATATCAATTCTGTGCTCTTGTTCTGTGTATCTCATTTAAGAGCGGATTTAATACAGATCGGTTAAATTTGTTATCCGCTTTAGAAAAGAAGAAGGACAAACTTGAGGACATTGTTAAAGAATTTGACATAGAATTAAGCAAAGAAAAGCATAGAAATTCTTTAAAATCTGGCTTTTCGACATTAAATGGCACCTATTTCAAATTGAGAGACATGGAGTATAGAATGATACATGACAAAATCTATAAAATGGCAGCTGTAATCTGTGGACAACAACTTACAGAATATTTATAAAATATGCTCCCCCGGAGTTTATTCAGAATCATTTCATCTTCGAATCTCTTATGGAAGTCAATGAAGGTGATTGTTCAATTATATTATTGAAAGACCAAGAAGAAAAATACTTTGAACGACTGTTATGTGACTTAAACAAGCGTGTCATTACAAGTACATTCCATAACTTCCAGTTAATTTTCAAGACATTTAGAGATAAGTTAGTAAGCTATTTAAGAAGGAGTGATGATGCAAAAACAGTATTAAGGAACTTTGATATACAAGGCTGCCCAATAGACTATGGTAATGATAATAAACGAAAACATTGGTCGAAGATTTATTATACAACACCTTTAATAGAATCAGCAATGAGGGGTTACTTGGATATTGTTCACTTTCTGATTGTTAATATTAAATGTAATGTCAATAACACAGACAGTATATACAGCTCCCCTTTATATAAGGCATCTGAAAGGGGACATTCCGCTGTAGCTAAATTGTTATTAGAGAACAATGCTGATGTATCTCAATGTAAAAAATATCTAATGTCACCATTATATGTTGCCTGTAATGAAGGACACAAAGATACAGTTGAACTTTTACTTCAGAACAATGCTGATGTCAATCAGTGTGATAACTGCGTTACGTCACCATTGCATGCGGCCTGTAATGGAGGACATAAAGATATAGTAGAACTTTTACTTCAGAACAATGCTGATGTCAATCAGTGTGCTAACAATGGTAAGTCACCTTTGCATGTGGCCTGTAAGGGAGGACATAAACATGTAGTAGAAGTGTTACTGGAGAACACTGCTTATGTCAATCAGTGTGAAAAGTATGATATGTCTCCATTGTATGTAGCCTGTATAGGAGGACATAAAGATATAGTAGAAGTGTTACTCCAGAACAAGGCTGATGTCTCACAGTGTAATGAGGATGGTAAGTCACCATTGCATGCGGCCTGTGTAAGAGAACATAAAGATACCGTAGAACAGTTACTGCAGAACAATGCTGATATCAATCAGCGTGATAAGTATGGTAATTCTCCATTAGATTTGGCATGTGTAGTAGGAGATAAAGATATAGTAGAACTGTTACTTCAGAACAAGGCTGATATCTCACAGTGTTACGACAATGGTGAGTCACCATTGTATTTGGCCTGTGAAGGAGGACATTAAGATACCGTAGAACTTTTACTTCAGAAGAAGGTTTATGCGAATACGAGTGATATATTTTGGGAGAGTCCGTTGTATGTAGCATGCGATATAGGATATACAAATATAGTAGAACTGTTACTGCAGAACAATGCTGATGTCAATCAGTGTGTTGAGTATGGTGATGGTGAGTCTTTATTGTTTGTGGCCTGTAGAGGAGGATATAAAGATATTGCAGATCTGTTACTTCAGAACAAGGCTGATGTCAATCAGTGTAATGAGAATGGTGATTCTCCATTATTTGAAGCCTCTGGAGGAGGCTATAAAGATATTGTAGATCTGTTAATTCAGAACAAGGCTGATGTCAATCAGTGTAATAAGGATGGTGATTCTCCATTGTTTGGAGCCTCTGGAGGAGGCTATAAAGATATTGTAGATCTGTTACTTCAGCACAAGGCTGACGTCAATACGAGTAATGAAATGAGTGAGTCTTCATTGTTTTACGCCTGTATCAGAGGAAATAAAGATATAGTAGAAGTGTTACTTCAGAACAAGGCTGACGTCAATCTGTGTAATAAGAATGGTAAGTCTTCATTGTTTGAAGCCTGTAGTAGAGGACATAAAGATATAGTAGAACTGTTACTTCAGAAGAAGGCTGAAGTCAATCAGTGTGATAAGTACGGTGATTCTCCATTGTATCGTGCCTGTGAAGGAGGATATTACGATGTAATAGAACTGTTACTTCAGAACAAGGCTGTCTCCAATCAATGTAATGTGCGGGGTGAGTTTCCATTGCATTTCCCTTTAAAAAGAGGACAAAAAGATATAGTAGAACTGTTACTTCAGCACAATGCTGACCTCAATCAGTGTTGTATGTGGGATTCGTTTCAATTGTTACGTTTATGTCGTTATGGACATAATGATATGGTAGAACTGTTACTTCAGAACAATGCTGAAGTCAATCAGTATGATAAGGACGGTGAGTCTTCATTGTATCAGGCCTGTCAGGGAGGTTATAAAGATATAGTAGAACTGTTACTCCAGAACAATGCTGATGTCAATCAGTGTAATAAAAATGGTAATTATCCATTGTTTGTAGCCTGTAAAGAAGGACATAAAGATATAGTAGAACTGCTACTTCAGAATAAAGCTGATGTTTTGCAGTGTAACATAAACAAAAATTCTTCACTGCATGTGGCCTGTGAAGGAGGACATAAAGATACAATAGAGGTGTTACTGCAGAATAATGCTGACGTCAATCATTATAATAATCGTGTTGAGTCTTCATTGTTTTTTGCAAGTACAGGAGGACATACAGATACAGTTGAACTGTTACTTCAGAATAATGCTGACCTTTCTCAGTGTGATTATATGGGTAATTCTCCATTGTATGTTGCCTGTGCAAGCGGGCATGAAGATACGGTAGAACTGTTACTTAAGAATAATGCTGATGTCTCCAAGTGTAACAAGGTGGGAGAGTCTCCATTATATATGGCATGTAAATTTAGATGTAGAGATACAGTAAAACTGTTACTGCAGAAAAAAGCTGATGTCTCTCAGTGTGAACAACAAGATGGAAAGTCACCTTTACATGTTGCTTGTGAACTTTGTATACCTGACACACTTATACCAACAGGCAAATGTTGGGATCCAAATATAACTTGCTACTACATCCGTGTACAACCTTATCATTATAAACTCGAAGATACATATCATGGTTACTATGAAACTGTAAAACTATTACTTGCATTGAATGCAGATGTTAGTTTGTGTGATAAGAAAGGTCAGACACCACTTTATTATGCCCATAAATCACAGGCCACGAGAATCGTAAAACTTCTTGAAAAAAAATCATCAAATATAAGTAAACATTTAATAAATTAGAAATTTCAACTAAAAAAAATACTTGAAATGTAAGACTCTTTACAGAAAAGCTATAACAAAATCTAGGTCATGAACTAAGTGAAGAAAATAAAAAAAAACGAATATGTGAAATGGAAACAACGTTTTATAGAATTAAGGCCGTCGAAATGTTGAAATTAGATAAATCCCACGGAGTAGACGGAATGGTGCATGCATTTTATAAAACGTATTGGTATTTAATAAGTGACGACTTCGTGTTTGTCATTAAAGAAATATTTGACAAACATTTGCTCTGTAAATCTCAATACAACTGCTGTTTTTTTTTCACAAACCTTAATTTTAATAAACAAACATCTATTCCCACTCAGCCCTATATAGTAATATACACTACCAAGTCTTTATGGTTATGTATGTATGTTGTGTACAAGCTGAAATTTTTTTTAATTTATAATTTGTATTGGGTTTTTAATTTAGTTATACGTTTTTTTTGACACGTACGTTTTCGCACCAGGTGATAAACGTTTATCTTCCAAGTTCATCAGCTTAGTGACTTAAATTGAAATTTATTTACTGGAACCTAATATTAAGTGCAACTCTCCTGGTCCTAAAAACTCGAAATAAAGACGCCTGAATGGTTTAAATTATATTTTCATTGTTTTTCTTTATACCAAAAATATGCAAAGCTAAAGACTGTGTTCTTGTATCATCCATTTGTGTTCAGGGATTCATAAAATATTGATAATATGTACAACAATTGTGTGCAAAATATAATTTGTACAACATTACAATTTTTACAGAATATATACACTCGTTTCTCCTTGTTGTAAATACACTCTGAGCAATTAAGTTTTGCTTATCTGCAGAGAACGTGACATTGTTATTCTAAAAGAGGTTGCTTTCTTTGTCATTCTTCATAGAAATATGGAGTTCTTTTACTGACATTTCCATTGATACCTTAATTGTACATGTGACAATATTTTCATACATTTCTTGATATGTTATCAATTATAATGTTAACTAAGTACATTGTATCAACATTGTTACTATGTCATGTATATTAAGTAAATGTTGTTCTTGATTTTTCTACTAATTAGCTACATGTACTATATACAATTTGTTTACACTATTAACGGAAAGATATGATTCATACTGTACACTTCTTACTAATAGTTTGACTTTCGAAAAGTAATGATTCACATCAAATTTGTTTTCATTGTTATTACATTTTATATTCGAAATTGGTTTTTTTAGAATATTTTTGTTTATAATGATTGACATTTTTTATTCTTTTCGATGGTTGCCTCATTGTTTGCTTATATAATCATCAACAAAAATAACGCTCCATGTACATCTGTACTTAAACGAATAATAATAGTTATACAATTTCCTGCTTCTGCCAAAAAAAAATCAATATTTTAAAACTGTAAGTATCATCTTGGATTTATATATACTGTCATACAAGTAAGACTAGGTTTAATCCCCAATTTTTACATTAGAAAATGATTGTACGAAGTCAACAATATGACAGGTGTTTTCTATTTATTTGATTTGTTTGAGCTTTTGATTTTGAATTTGGGAATTTGTAATTTTTTTGTTTGTTTTTTTTCTGTTGTTTTTTCTTCTTCTGCTTTTGATTTTTTGTAGTTGATCTATATTCACACAACTATCAGTAGATCGTATTTAGACAAATGCGTCTTATTTTAGATTATCATTTTCACATTAACTGAATTCAATAATTTATTTTATTCATTCACTATAAATGTTAAACATAACTGCAAAAGGAAAATTCGTATTCAAGATTTTTTTTTAATTCACTTAAATATTATGTACAAATGTTTCGGCTAGAAAATCTGAAGGGCGTACTCACCAGTTTTATTATTATATTATTCATTACTATGTCCAAGACGTAAGATTAGCATTTGTTGTTTTTTTTTTCTGGTCTGTTTGTCCTGTATTAGTTAACAGTTTTTTAGTACTTTTCTTATGCTAGGGTTTTTTGGTAAGGGTTGATAACGAAGTTGTCGTCACATAAAGTTGAGAAGTTGTACGCTTATACACTATGAAGTCATTTCTTTCAAACTCTGTTGCAAATAATAACATGATTCACTGAGCGTTGACAATTGATACGGTTACCTACAATTCCTGACGTCCATTTCATTCGACTATTTAGTCTTCTACTGACGAAGTCGTAGGGACTTTAGGTTTGCGCTTCGTCCGTCTGTCTGTCTGTCTGTCTCTCTCTCTCTCTCTCTCTCTCTCTCTCTCTCTGTGTGTCTGTCTGTCCATCCATCAGTCCGGCAAATCAGTTTTCTAGACTTTTTTCTTCGTGCTTAAAGATATTGATTCGATATTTGGTTTATTGTTTTATCATGACAAGTTACAGGTCAAGTTCAATTTTCACGATTTTAGCTCTTCTCTTTGATTAGTTTAAGCCCTTTTCATAGAATTAAATTTTTGATGAAATACTTATTAACTAGAGGTTTTCTGTTTCAAGAGAAAAAACTCATTTTCTAAAGGATTTGATATTTTGGATTTTTTTTCCTTTTCTTTGGTAAATTGTTTAAAGAATTTAGTGGTAGGTTTGTTTGTCATTCTTGAAGATATTGTTTTAATATTTAGTACACAGTTGTATCATGACAAGTTACAGATCAAGTTGGAATTTTTTTCCGGTCTGATGATTTTGTGCAGAGTTATGGTCTTTGGACATAGAAATTCCCTTTCAGTTTTCAACAGTTTTTTTTTTGTCATGCTTGAAGATTTTGACTTGATATTTGTATGTAGTTTACACCATGACAAGGTATAGGTCAAGTTCGTTCTATTACAATGCATTTTTAACCGTAGGGTAGTATGTATTCCCATGCAATACTCACAGAATGCTAGTTTTGAATAGTTATCTCATAGGTAATAATAGACAATTGATAATATGAGCGGGACATGTTTTCCTTTGAACCAATATTTTAAAAAGACAGAGACATTGAAATCAACATTTTTTAAATATACCATTCTGTAGAATAATTAGATTTTCTCATAACGATGCTCAAAATCTAGCATGAGATCCCAAATAAAGCTGTTATACTTCACTTGTTTAAAAAATACGTCGAAATACTGCCTCTGTAACTAAATGTCAGCGTACATTTTAATTCAACAAAGATTGTTAAAACAGTTTGTATACGCATACTGAAATTTCTGGTTTTCAAATTTATTTATTTCTCAAAGAGTCTTTTTTCGCTAACCTGGCCCGAATGGCCAAATTAGCTTTTCTCATCACTTGGCGTCCGTCGTTGTCCATCGTCGTCTTCGTCCGTCGTCTTTAATTTTTACAAAAATCTTCTCTGAAATTACAGGGCCAAGTTTAACCAAACTTGGCCACAATCATCATTGAGGTATTTAGTGTAAAATATGTGTCCGATGATCCTGCATGCCAACCAAGAGGACCGACATGGCTGAGAATAGAACATAGGTAAAATGCAAGTTTCGACTATTACTTTGAAAACCATTTCCGACAGAGAAAATCTGACAATCTCAAAGTGTTGAGCTCTGCAAATTGTCCGTATATGTCAAAACTATCAAACGACTTCTTACAGGAGTTATTGCCCTTAAATGAGAATTTTACCATTTTTTTTTATAATTTTTCATATCTTCAAAACAATAATATATAGAGAGAAACTTTAAAATGTAGAGGTGAGCAGCAATACAAGTTCTAAATATAGGTCATATTGTTGAATTCGTCAGTCGACTCCTTCCTAGAGGTATTGCTCGATTTTTACAGTATTTTTGCGTTTTTGCCCTACATCTTAAAATATATAACAGATAGATAGTAACTTAAATAAGAAAAGCAAAAATGATCAGCAAAACAAGATCCACAATTGAGACTGTATAGAGTAAATTGGTCTACGACTCCGTATTGGAGTAACTGATCTTTTATGACAATTTTCACATTTTTTTGTGTTTTGCTTTAAAAAATCATAAAAGATGAATAGAATCTTTAAATCACAAAAAGGATCAGACTATCAGTTTTCAATTTAAGAGTGATTGGTTTTAAATAAACATTTATTTTACCTTTTGTGTTTTGAGCAAAAACTAAAGAAGATAGAGGGAAACTAAATAGAACATGATTAGCATTACAAGTTCAACAAAACAGAGACTTTTGTCATGAATTATATTCTTGTCTACAATGTTGAAAGTGTCCTTTGTTGAATATGCACATAGATCAAATTGAGAACAGAGGCTCCGGTTAAAACTCAATTTAGAAAAGGTAAACTCATTAATATCTGTTTCTTATTGACAGTCATGGTTCAACAAGAAATATATCATTAAATTGTTATGCACTCAGTGTTATATTATTTTTGGGATAAACCCATAACGAAATGTATGAACATATTAAGTATTTATATTCTTCTATAATAAACAGTTGAATGAACCGTATTTGTAGATGTTCTTTAAAAAATCCTTAAGATTGGTGGCCTTCGGTTTTCTGTTCTCTAAGCAGGTTATTATTGTCTTTGACACATTTCCCATTTCCAATCTCAATTTCATTTGTTTATTGAAAATAATTAGATAAACGCAAATCTTATGTCTGATTTGTTTAAATAAATGCAACAGTAGTATACCGCTGTTCGAGAGTCATATATCGATTGAAAGATCACAAAACCGGGTTCAAAACTAAAATCGAGGGAAACACATCAACTATAAGAGGAAAACAACAAAACAACAAAAACACTGAAGTGCAACAAAAAACAAAAAACAATGCAAAACCCACAAACACGAATTATA